ATTTGCTCAGCTTGCAATTTAGGCTCCGCCCACTATTCCCTGAAAATGTTTTCCTTGGAACTTTCGGGACATCCTTATAACCTTAATTCTTTTGAATGCAAACTCGCTCTAATTGGAAAAATTGAAATAAAATTACAGCTCATCCTCTGCCTTGTCTTCTCCCCTCTCTTGTCAGCATTCCCTTATGGAACGCAATCATTCCATATCACGGGACGACTCATGTGTCGTGGAAAACCTGCTCAATTCGTAGAATTACAACTTATCAACTCTCGTGGATGTAAGAAGCAATTACGCTCCACCGAACTTATTTCAATTTTCAGACGGCGAGGACAACGTGGAAATTTCAGACATTGTCTTCTCGGACCCCGCTGGATATTTCGAAGTTTCTGGAAAAATGCATCAATTTTATTTGATCCCGGCGCAGATTTTTATTTATCACGAGTGTTTTTATGATGTCGGTGTTCATCATGGAAAGTGTAAAAGTTTGAGATATGAGGAAGTTCCAAAGGAATTTATAACTGAAGGACCCATTCCGAGAATAACCTATGAAGCTGGAACTATTAATTTGGAGCATGGAGTTTTCAAAGAGTACTTGGAAAGATGTGAATAAAGAAGTGTGAATAAGAATAAATGCTTTTATTGTGTATACAAAATAAAGTTATTATTTTTTGCACTTGTCCAAATAATCTCCTTGTTCCGCGTCCAAATGAATGCTCCCCATATTCCAAACAATTCTTGGCAGTTTTCCTCGATTCACAAATTCTCCAGGAATATTGAATTCTTTCCAGTTTTTGCATTGACCTCTCTGAGCTTGAACATCCTTAAAACATTCGTGCCAGATCCATAAACGGCCGGCGGGTCGAAAATACTGATCGATGTATCCATAGATATCAAACCGCCCATATTCATCTGTGTGGATTCCCTCCGCCATTATTCCATTTTCTGAAAGAAAAAACTGTATAAACTCGCTCCATCGAGAATCTCTTACCACTAAAATGTCTCCATGTTAAAAGCTGAAGCTCAGCGAACGCTTCTGGTTTCCCACGGCACATCAGTATTCCCTGAATTCTAACAGAATAAAGGATTGCGTATATTGGTGATATGAGAGTCAGAGTATAAAGTAGAATCTGCGTAAAATAGGTTAAAATAATACAGAAATGTGTTAAATTGTCACCTTCATTCTGAAAGACAAGGTACTGCGCTTGGTCAGCAAAAATACCAGGACTATTGGAATCGTTCTGACGTGACTCCAACTTCCACGATCTCCTCTTTGGCGCCTGCCACATGAAAAATGTTGGTTTTGGTGTAACTTAGAAGAAGGAGAACACAACAATTCAAAAATTTGGTATCATGAAGGTGGGTTTTTTGGGTTACGAGCTTGCAAATTGTGTTTTACAGTTTTTCCTCCTATAAGACTATTTTATGAAACAGAAAAAATTTCAGTTCGTATTCCTGCTAATTGCCATTCCGCTTGTCTTTGCTAGAGAACTATCGGTTCTAGTGATCGGAACTCTAACCTGTCACGGACTCCCCGCACAATATGCTGAGCTTCAATTGGTCAGCAAAAAGGTTTTTGGTAATTATTTCAGCCGTCCAATAGAGTTCATTTTCTGATTCTTCAGGTGGCGGCGCTTTTGCTCGTGACGTCTTCACCGACCCCTCAGGAAACTTTCAAATCGCCGGATACATCGATCTGGACGCTCCTTCGTGGGCCACGATTGATGCTCGGATCTATATTTGGCACAAATGCTACGAGAAACCTTATGAGCAATCGGATTCATGTTACAATTGGTTTGAGATTGGAATTCCGAAACTGTTCATAAACGAGGGACCGTTGGCTCAGAAGACATGGGATCTGGGGGAGATTCGTCTGGAAGTGCCGAAAAAAGGACAACAATTAGATGCGTGTTAATTGAACTGTTGCTTGCAATGACAGTCTGATCTTCAACTAATGAATTGTTTATCATAATATCACAAACATTTTATCAGTTGACACATTTTTATAGCTCTCATAAGAGTGGAGGTCATTAAGCTCAAACTTGACGGTGTCTATTACCGGCTTTACGGCATATAAAAACGCTCCATCGAGAGTCTCTTATCACTAAAATGTCTCAAGGTTAGGAGCTTAAGCTCAGCGAACGCTTCTGGTTTTCCACGACACATAAGTGTTCCCCGAATTTTGACAGAATAGAGGATTACGTAT